TTTTGGTAATAAAAATATACTTTAAATATTTTTCGTATACATCGTTTGACACACAAAATAATTTTTGGTCTCACCTTTTCTCCCCTATTCAAATTCATTGAATAAGGGATATTATTTCCTTGAGGAGCGTTTCCTTATTCTCGATGTCTCAAACAACGAGTTAGAAGCCAAAGGGCTTCCATTTGCGCTTGGCTTGGGCCCTTAATGTTTGCGCATTATTTTTTACTTTAATCGATTATTTACTCTAAAATAATCGATTAGATCCAATTTCACAGCGTTGGTTTTCTCAGGCAAATCAACTTAATCGATTAAAATTATTCATTTAATCGATTAGTTCAAACAGAACAGAATAATCGATTATTCCCTCATTTTTAATCGATTAATTCCACTTTTGGTTTCAAGCCTTTTTCGCTTCTGTACACTTTAATCGATTAAAATTCCTAATTTATTCGATTAATTCTCTCGGGTACAGAACATCAGCTTTCTTCAACGGCTTTATTTTCCTCATCCTATTTAATCTCTTTTGAGTGTTGTTCGTAAGACTTGTGTGACTCAAGTCTTGTTGTTGTAAGAAAGTGAGGCTTGTGTGATTCAAGTTCTCAAGTTGTACCGGTTTTTCAAGCACCTGTTGAAGCTTGAAGATTAGTAGGACTTTCGAGAGAGTCTCTCGGAAGACTAGATTAGCCACGAGGTGGTGAACCAGTATAAATCTCGGTGTTCTTCTTTCTCTTACTCTCTTTATTTTATTCCTGCGATTCTATTATTTCACACACGCGAAAAACGCACATTCTTGAGAACAACTCTATTCACCCCCCCTCTAGAGTTGCACATTTGTCTAACAATTGGTATCGGAGCAGGAAGTTCTTCGAATACGTTATTTTTTCAGGAACTAAAAGATCAAATGGCATCAAGAATGTTCAACGCAGGAGTGACCAAGGGACAATCAACCACGAGGCCACCATTGTTCGATGGAACAAACTACTCGTATTGGAAGGAGAGGATTAGAATCTTTATCCAATCCAACGACTACAAGCTGTGGTTGATTGTGAAGAACGGCTGCGGAGTCCCGATGAAGAAAGTCGGTGAAGTCAATGTTCCCAAAACCGAAGAAGAGTTCACCGACGAAGATTGCAAAAAGATGGAGCTCAATGCCAAGGAAATAAACATGATTTATTGCGGTGTTAACGCGGATGACTACCGCAAAATCTCAAGGTGTGAAACCGCAAAACAAATGTGGGAGAAATTGGAGGTCACCTACGAAGGAATCGCGCAGGTTCGGGAGGCCAAAATTGATCATCTCACTCACGAGTATGAACTCTTTTCAATGAAGGAAAATGAGAAGATTGAGGAAATGTTTGAGAGATTCTCTAACATCATCAATCCCCTCAATCTTCTCGGGAAAACATACACCGACCGAGAGCTCGTGAGAAAGGTGCTGCGAAGCCTATCTCCTAAATGGCGTTCAAAGGTGGACGCAATCGAAGAAGGTCGTGACTTCCAAACAACGACCTATGATGCTCTTCGAGGTAATCTTATTACCTATGAAACCACCCAACTTTCAAAGGTGGTTGAAGAAACGAACAAAAGGTCTATTGCTCTACCCGCAACAACATCAACCCACAACAACGTTGATGATGAAGATGATGACAGCGACGACACCGACCTCGAACTCTTTGTCCGAAAATTCAAGAAGATGATGCTCAAGAAGGGAGCAAAGAAGAACACTCCACCCAAATGCTATGGGTGTGGTGAAGTTGGACACATCAAACCAATGTGCCCAAAGCTCAAGAACGAGAAGGACAAGAAGGCACCGAAGAAGCAGCGTGCTTACATTTCTTGGGAGAACGACGGCTCTGGGAGTGAAGACTCGGAAACGGAAGAAGTGGCCAACTTGTGTCTCATGGCCATTGAAGATGGTGATGCATCAAAAGAGGTAAGTGATCAAGAACCTTCTCCCAATGATCCTTTAACTCTTAACGATGTAGTTTGCATTGTAGAAGATTTGGTAAGAATGTTCAAAAAGGCCTCCAAAGAAAACAATGAAGTAAAGCAAAAAATCCTGATTTTTGAGAATGAAATCAAAGAACTCAAAAATATAAATGATAAACTTAAACAAGAAATTATCTCTTTTGGGAAAAGGCCACAAGCTTCTTCTACATGCTCTAGTTGTACATCACTAAAAGCTAAACTTGCTAGTTTAGAGAGCAAATTGGGAAAGTTCAATAATGCCTCAAACACCTTAGATAAAATACTTAAGCAAAAAATTAGTAATGGTGAAGGACTTGGATATAAGAAAAACCAACCTAGAAAAACAACATTTGTTAAAGCTAGGGGGAATAAAAATGCTAGGATTAATAATCAAACTAGAAAAGCACATCCTAGCAAACCTAGAACTCATTACACTCAACCATATAGGATGAATAATCCAAATGTTATTTGCCACTATTGCAATAAGATAGGTCACATTGCACCCGTGTGCTTCACCAAAATTAGGCATTTT